CCATTAATTCGACCATTAATTCGGCCCCAAAATGGTAGAGAACTACCACCCCAAAATCGGTTTAGAAACAAAAAAAAAAGAAACCACAAAAATTTAATAATATGTAACCGGTCTCCTGACAAGGCAAGTGGGTGTACCCAGGCTGGCAGCCCCCCCGGGTTAAAGATGGTGCTGTTGAACGCCAGATCTGTCAACGGTAAAACATCTTTTATCCAAGATCTAATTCTGGAGGAACGGGCAGATCTGGCGTGCATTACGGAGACCTGGTTGGACGAAGCTGGAGGAGTAAATTTAACCCAGCTTTGCCCACCAGGCTTCTCCGTACAGCACCAGTCTAGACCCGGGGGGCGGGGAGGCGGGGTGGCAGTAGTCTATAAGAATTCCATCTCGCTGACCAGAGGCCCCATCCCACAGTCAACTAATTTTGAATGTGTCTACCTGAGGGTGGGCGACCGGGACAGAATAGGGATTCTGTTAGTGTACCGCCCACCTCGCTGCACTACAGTCTCCCTACCTGAGCTAGCAGGGGTTGTCTCGAGCCTGTCATTGGAGTCCCAACGGCTTCTTGTGCTGGGGGACTTCAATGTACACGCCGAGACAGCCTTAGTGGGAGCGGCTCAGGACTTCATGTCTTCCATGGCAACCATGGGGCTGTCCCAACAAGTAACTGGCCCCACCCACAGTGCCGGACACACACTAGATTTGGTTTTCTGTCAGGGATGGGAGCAAGGTGGCGGGGTTGAGGAGTTATCCATCTCTCCGTTGCCATGGACCGACCACCATCTGGTTAGTTTTAGACTTACTGCACCTCCGAACCTCTGCAGAGGTGGGGGACCCATTAAGTTGGTCCGCCCCAGGAGACTTATGGATCCTGATGGATTCCTGATGGCTCTTGGGGAGTTTCCTGCCGCCTCGGTTGGTGATCCTGTTGATGCCTTGGTGGCTCTCTGGAATGGGGAGATGACCAGGGCAATAAACACGATCGCTCCGGAACGTCCCCTCTCAAGTAGCCGAGCTAAACCAGCTCCTTGGTTCACCGAGGAGCTGGCAGCAATGAAGCGAAAGAAGAGGAGACTAGAGCGTGTGTGGCGTTCGGACCCGAGCGAGTTAAACCGAGCACGGTTTGTTGCCCTACTAAGGGCATATGCCGTGGCAATAAAGGCAGCAAAGAAATCTTTCTTTGCGGCCAATATTGCGTCCGCTAAGAACCGTCCGGCGGAGCTGTTTCGAGTTGTCAGAGGCCTATTGAAACCCACCATTCCGGATGGGAGCCCTGACAACTCGTCGGCCCGCTGTGAAGCATTTGCTCGGTTCTTTGCGGACAAAGTCGCTTTGATCCATTCAGGCCTGGACACCATGTTAACGGCAGTCTCTGAGGATGTGACGAGAACACCTGTCTGTCCGATTTTGTTGGATTCGTTTCAATTGGTGAAACCCGAGGATGTGGACAAGATACTTGGCGGGATGAGGGCAACCACATGCATCCTAGACCCCTGCCCATCCTGGCTTAAAGGAGGCCAGAGGGGGATTGGATAAGCAAAAATGTTGGATAATAAGGAGGGATTAAGGAAAAGCCTATAAAACCGCTGTTGAAAAAACCATCACTGGACCCCACTCAATTCGTCAACTATCGGCCTGTTTCCAATCTCCCCTTTTTGGGCAAAGTCCTGGAACGTGTGGTGGCCTCACAACTCCAAGCATTCTTGGTAGACACTGATTATCTGGATCCGGCGCAGTCTGGCTTTAGGCCGGGGCATGGTACCGAGACAGCCTTGGTCGCCTTAGTGGATGATCTCCGGCGTGAGCTTGACAGGGGGAGTGTGTCCCTGTTGGTTCTGCTGGACCTCTCAGCGGCCTTCGATACCGTCGACCACGGTATCCTTCTGGGGCGCCTCGGGGGAATGGGCCTGGGGGGCGCTGTTCTACAGTGGCTCAGGTCCTTCCTAGAGGATCGTACCCAGAAGGTGTTACTGGGGGACAACTGCTCGTCCTCACAACCATTGACTTGTGGGGTCCCGCAGGGTTCTATACTGTCCCCCATGTTGTTTAACATCTACATGAAGCCGTTGGGAGAGATCATCCGGAGTTTCGGGGTGCGGTGTCATCTGTACGCAGATGATGTCCAACTCTGTCACTCCTTTCCACCTGCTACTAAGGAGGCTGTTCAGGTCCTGAACCGGTGCTTGGCCGCTGTCTCGGACTGGATGAGGGACAACAGATTGAAACTAAATCCAGACAAGACAGAGGTACTCCTGGTCAGTCGGAAGGCCGAACAGGGTATAGGGTTACAGCCTGTGCTAGACGGGGTCGCACTCCCCCTAAAGGCACAGGTTCGCAGCTTGGGTGTGACTCTGGATTCTTCGCTAAGCTTGGAACCCCAAGTTTCAGCGGTGTCCAGAGGAGCATTTGCACAGCTTCGGCTCGTGCGCCAGTTGCGCCCGTATCTTGGGAAGTCGGACTTGGCCACGGTAGTCCACGCTCTTGTCACATCCCGTATAGATTACTGCAACGCGCTCTACGTGGGGTTGCCCGTGAAGACTGCCCGGAAGCTTCAGATGGTCCAGCGTTCGGCAGCCAGGTTGCTAACGGGAGCGGCACTCAGGGAGCACACCACTCCTCTGTTGAGCCAGCTCCACTGGCTGCCAATTTGCTACCAGGCACAATTCAAGGTGCTGGCTTTAGCCTATAAAGCCCTACACGGTTCCGGCCCCACTTACCTCTCCGAACGCATCTCCACCTATGAACCGGCGAGGTTGTTAAGATCGTCTGGGGAGGCCCTGCTCTCGGTCCCGCCAGCGTCACAGGTGCGGCTGGCGGGAACGAGGGACAGGGCCTTCTCAGTGGTGGCCCCCCGGCTATGGAATGCCCTACCAGCGGACATCAGGCAGGCCCCTTCGCTATTGGCGTTTAGGAGGAGGGTTAAGACGTGGCTCTTCGAACAGGCGTTCGGATAAATATGCAATAACAACTGACTCAGGAATGACGGCACATTGAACAAGGAATGGTAATACGACTGTGAGATCGAGATCTGATTCTAATGAGGCGTGATGATTTTTATGTGTATTGTTTGTGTATGTTTGTTATATAGATTGTTCAGTGTTGCACATTTTATTGTAAACCGCTTCGAGTCGCCTTTTTAGGCTGATATTTGCGGTATACAAAAGAAGTAAATAAATAAATAATAATAAATAATCAATAAAATCAGATAAATGAAATTGGAGAGCTGAGAAATTACTGCCTGAAACCTCTGATGTCACTCATGGGGATAAACAGAAAATAGGACAGAAGAGTGAACAGACGTAAGACAGATTGGCATATTCATTTAAAAAAATCAAGATATCAAGAAAAAGAAGTGCTATGACATCTCAAACAAAATGGTTTATTTTGTTTTGATGTAATCCATTGATACATTGAGAGATAACCCAACAACTCAAGATAAAAGGAACAGATTTTCCAAAGCAAAATATATTGAAAAATACTCCATTCTTGAGAACTTGAAAGAGCACAAATCAATAAGACAGAACATAGTCTTCTGAGAGACAATTACATTTGACAATAGGCAAGTCATCCACTATCTTTGTTCAGACATTGAGACATTCAGTCAAGTGTTTTAAAATATTCTGCTTTCAAAAGCTCTCTTTCTAACTGCCCTGAGTGTACAAGGGAATTGGAGTGTTCTCCCTTCCATTTATTTTTCAAGCCTTTATCCTTATTGATAATGTTTACACAGTTCAGTTATTTAGTTATCATGTAGTGGCTATGACGATGATGTGATGATGATGCAATCTGAAGGCAGTACAATGAGCCCCGGGCTATTATGTTATGTTTCCCTTTTTCCTGTGCAGTCAAAAGCAGGAGTTGAAGCACTGAATTCTGCTTTTGTATAACCCTTTGCCATGATATTCGGAATGATCTGTGGTTAATATTCATTACAACTGACTTCAAAACAATCCAGCTCCAGTTACTATGGTCTGAACCCAACTTGTTCGTTAATCACACTGTATTCTTCTTGAATGATCAGGTGTGCAACTTAGAAATGTTCTTGGTGGATGGCTTCAGCATCCATAAGCATCTCTTACGACAGTGAACATTTCTTTTTGTACTGTATGGTACAACATTTGGTCAGTTCATATTTCCTATGTAAATCTTTTTCTTGTGCAAAATTTGTTGCTGGGAAATCAGCATCTATCATCCTGTGTCATCTTGATGCATGCCAAGATTCTGGAAATGTTTTTGTTAGGTTTCTGCTCATTAGGAAAGAGGGCTGATATAGCCTCATTTTAGAATAATGCATAACCTTCCAATAGAAAATTATGGGTATGTCTCCAGGAAGCAGTATGAAGAGATGTTAGATTCCTCTTTTTTCTTCTTTTCCCATCTTGTAGAAGACCATACATAGTTAACTTTTAATTAAAACATTATGTTATTTTTTCCTGTGGCATGTTAACATAACCGGAATTTTCAGTTCAGTCTGATTATCTTTATGTTATTGCATGCAACTTGGAATTCAGTGAAAAGTGGGGTTGAATTTTATAAACAGTACAAATATTTTAGGGATTCATGAAGATTCCCTGTTGTATCCAGATTTTCTTCTATAGTTTTCTTTGTTTGTGTTTTATACTTTAAATTTGTGTTTAATTTTAAAAATAACAGATTTGATGTGTACAGGGAAGTGAATGCTTCCACAATATTTCTGTTTACATTCATCTAATAGATTTTAGTTGATGAAGGGGAGTTAATCTGTATTTGAGTCCAGTAAAAATGTGTTTCCCAATCATTATTTTATGGGATATTACATATTGCTCAGGGTTTCAAAAACACACCTCTGGAATTTTGCCAATCCATAGTCCTTATAGATCTTCTAACACTTCAAACATAATTGATTGTGGTGGTCACTAATTTATAAAGAAATATTAAGAAAAGGATCAGGAATTAGTATTCTTTGTAGTAATGTAGTGTAATACACAAATTACCCTTATTAAAAATGTTTTCTCTTTCAGATGGAGCAGCTGTCTGATGAAGAACTAGATCATGGTGCCGAAGAGGACAGTGATAAAGAAGATCAGGATTTGGACAAGATGTTTGGAGCTTGGTTGGGAGAATTAGACAAACTCACACAGGTTAAATTCAGTTTGTAATACTTTTGACATTCTTTAATACAAGAGGTTATATGTTAAATTTAATACGGTATATTGTTTTTGCTGTTGACAGCAGGTCATATCATTATTGATGACATATAATTTCTTTCTGTACTGCCTGACAGGTGGCAATGTGGTAAATTGACATATCTGTTGAAGAATCCATTTTTATTGTGTAAGATAGCGATATTTCAATGTGGTTATGAGCTTGCTGCAGATGTTAGGTAGAATTATGTTTTGGAAAAGTAAGAAGGATTTAATTTGTTCAGAAGGTAATACTAGATACTCCACCTACTTTTGATTTTTAAAAAATCAAATTGGGAGCCAAAATAATGCTAGTAACCTTCTAAAAATGGCAATTAGGAAAACAGTATTTGCTAACCTACCCGTTGCTAATCTTGGCAATTTCTTTTTACTTTGGTAAAAATATTTTTACTTTGACATTTGAATTGGTAGTGGGTTCTTTGTATTTTTCCTCCTCCATTTTGCATTTCATAAAAAAAAATCTGAAAATCTAGAATTGCTATACAAAACCTCTGGTAGAATCTTAGTTATATACACATACAAACATTACTTTGGGAGTGCATTGTTGATTTGTGATCACAATTTACACTGATTGTGGTCCTTCATTGAAGCATATGAATTGCAAATTGCAAAATATAAAGTTTCAAGAATTAGTTGGGGATGTAAATTTTTCAATATCTGGACACATGTAATCGAAATAGTACAGATTATTAAAAAATGTTGCAGATACTGACTTAGTTTGCATATATTAGTAAACTGGAATAGTTGAGAATTCTGCCATGCTTAGGGTAAATACAGAATTAGAATCTCAGTTCACAAATCGTGTTTGGTTTATTCATCTGCTCCCAACGGTAGGAGGAACCCCAAAACTGGTATTTAGTAAGCTATTCTCAATTCACCCAGAATATTTAGTAACACCACTGCGTCTCATTTTTTAAGGTTCATTGAAATAGTAATTTCAGCGAACAATTTTAATAAAAATGTCATTCTGTCATCGATAGCTACATTGGAATATATGTAGGTTTTTTTGGTTGTTGTTATTAATCTGTTATTGACTATGTTAAATAAACATTTTGATTGCCATGCATACATAAGAAAAATATATATTTTGATTTCAATGGCACATTTGCATTTATGTTTTGCCTCTACTTGTGTTTGTGTGTTTCATTCTATATGATTGTAAAGGCATTGAATGTTTGCCTGTGTATGTAAATGCTGTAATCCGCTCTGAATCCCCTAAAGGAGAAAGGTGGAATATATATAAAATGTATTATTATTATTATTATTATTATTATTATTATTACCATTATTATTACTATTATTATGTTTTGAACATTTTGTTTGTTTATGTTTTAGACTACAGCAGCTTATTTTGCTTTTTCTTCTGATTCCTTTATTTAGAGTTTGGATACAGACAAACCCATGGAACCTGTAAAAAGATCCCCTCTTCGCCAGGAAACTAATATTGCAAACTTCTCCTATCGCTTTTCTATGTACAATCTCAATGGTAAGATGGGTTGCTAAACTAACTTCCGAAAAGGAAGAAACACTTTGAATTAAGATGCTCTTGATACAAAAGTATGTTTGTGTGTTAAAATGAAGGATTTTTATAAGACATAATCAAGGCACAAACTGTATTACTTATAAAATGGGGGGGGGGGGAGCTTCAGCTGGTAGAGTGTGAACATAGGGTAGGTGAAATATTTGGGTGGATGGACTATCCTGACTCATTGGCCCCCACATTGTTTATTGCTTGTTGTTTAATATTGCTTAACTGTTTTTAATTTGCTTTAGGTGTTGTATTGTTGTGTTGTGTTTTGAAGCCTTGGCCTATGTAAGCCGCATCGAGTCCTTCGGGAGATGCTAGCGGGGTAGAAATAAAGTTTAACAATAATAATAATAATAATAATAATAATAATAATAATAATAATAATAATTATCTCTGTCCCTTTGCATACTGAGATAGAAATGTAAGAGCTGTTATGATGAACAATCAACATTACATAAAATGATTGTTAGATGGAAAATGAACTGCAGGTCTATGTATCTCACTGAAGTTCCATACATTCCTTTTGTTTTGTGTCTTGTGTCATAACTATTCAAATTTAGACATCTGTATTATGCATTTTAAATACATAATATAGATGTCTGAATTTGAAAATATGTATCAGATAATTCTAAAAATTGGAAATAACATTATATCAGTAATGAAAATCAACAGTTACTTCAGAAGTCAATAAATAATTTTGAAAGTCAGTATCTTGGGTTTAAATTGATAGTAACTCTAAGACTGTACAGACTAGATCTTGTTTTTAAATGAAGATGGGGTGAAAAGTACTAAATATTAAACTTGAACAAAGAGATTAAATTTGAATGGTTTAAAATGTTAATTATAAGGTAGTGGAATATGACATAAGCAATTTAAATCTGTTGCATTTATAGCATGCAAGTGTGCAATAAATATACTTAGCAGACATGCAAGGGAACATTCACAAAAAAATCTTTTCAGCCTAAATGCCATTTGAAAAAGCAAAGTAAACTAAAATACTATTATGCAGCTGGTATGGAAAATAAGTAATGAACTTCCTCAGAGATTTATTAAGTGCTCCTGAACGATAGAATCGGAAATAATGGGAATTTTATTTTCCTACCACTACAGCTATTATGCAGCCAGAGAGAAGGATTGCATGTATTTTAAGGCAGGAAGATAATTCATGTGAGAATTAACATTTGGTAGATATACTCCTCATGAACCAAGTGTGCCTCCTAGAGCATAAGCCAGTATGTAGTGTGCGGGTATTCTGTGGCAGCCTCTCAGTTTCTCAGCAGAGGTCAGTGAAGAATTTTTTTTTTAAAAAAAACTGCCATATATTAAGTAAGTTCAACACTAGTTGACCACAGTTGAGCATAGAGATAGAATTTGGGTTGCTGATCATATACCTGTTGTTCATTACAGAAGCCCTGAATCAGGGAGAGGCCGTGGATCTTGATGCTCTGATGGCCGATCTTTGTTCCATAGAACAGGAACTCAGTAGCATTGGATCACAGTCTGCAAACAGTATGTCAATGAAACGCTTTGCGGCAGATGGAAAAATGGCTCAAAAACCACCTGGGGGTAGTCGGGTTGCTGCCAAACACAGCAGTATGAAAGGATTGTCATCTTCATCATCTAGTAGGGTAACAAAGCCTTCACATGCTATCTTTTCTCTGGATGATATTACTGCACAGCTAGAAAAAGCATCTCTGAGTATGGATGAAGCTGCTCAGCAACCTGTAATGGAAGACAGCAAACCTGTAGTTGCTACCCAACATAGGAGAACAGCATCGGCAGGTACTGTGAGTGATGCTGAAGTCCGTTCTATCAGTACTTCCTCCCGCTCTAGCATCACGTCAGCAGCCTCCAGTATGGACTCCTTAGACATTGATAAGGTGACAAGACCTCAGGAACTGGATTTGACTCAACAAGGGCAACCAGTTAGTGAGGTAAAGTATAATTCATTTTTCATTCATTAGTGAATCTTGGTGATTCACATTTTATATACATTTCAAAAATCCTTTAAAGAAAATTGTTGTCTTCCTGTCTTTAACTGTCTTGCTTTCATGTTGCATAGTAAACACTGAAATATTTAAACATGTTTACATGGTCAAAGGTATAAAATGTAAAGTGAGGAATTTGTATTGGTTCCTTGGACAGAGCTACTGTTTTTCATCTGAAAACAATAAAATTTTAATGCAACTGATCCTGCTCAGAAGAGTATGAGAGAGTAGTTTCCAAGAGTTGCCAGGTTAGGGACATGAAACGACGGGTATGTGTTTTTCAAATTACATAGATGAAGAATTATATTACAGAGAGCCACAAAGTTACAAACATAGTTAACTCATAGTTAAGAATGGGCATGAGACAATGGAAAATGAGAGAAAATCCTGAAAGAGTTATCACGGGGAAAAAGTGTATCCACTGAAGCTTTCTCACCAGTCCTTGTTTCTCCAACAAGCCAATTTTTTTTTTCAAAATCCTATTATCACAGGGACAGAAAGTGAGATGAAACCTTCTGAACAGGGGCACAGACAGCAAAACAATCACACCAGAGGTGTTAATCCTTCCCCAAAGCTTTTATATATATATAGTTTTGGCTGCAGGTGCACTCTAGAAATGTACCTGTTCTGACTTACAAGCAAATTCAGCTACAGAAACTATCTTGTTTGTAACATAGGGATTGCCTTTACCAGGTAGTCTTAGCACTAGTGAAACATGAATTTGATAAGTTTAGGGGGGAAATTAAGAAACAGTAAGGAATGTGCATGTTGAATTTCACATATTAAACTAATCAGACTATTGTTTGGTTTAAGGACTTTAGTAGAAAAGGTGTGTTTTTGTGATCAGGAGAAGAGGTTTCAGTAAATTCAAGACATGATTCTTAAAGTCATTCTAGCCCTTTAGGTCTTAGGAGGTAGTACATGTGGCAAAAAGCTGAGATGTGCTTAGGTCTTAGATTTTGCTCCAAGGAATCAGGTTTGCAAACATAAAGAGCACATTTAAACACATTCCATATCTTAATTGAACCCCAAAATGGTCTTTCTTATTTCAATAAAAATGGACTTCAGTTTTTTTCTGACATGACAACATATCAGATATTATTTTATTTCATAGTGGCTTGCATTTCCAAATAAATATTCCCAGGATGAGAAGCAAATAATTAAAGCAAAGTTAAAATTCACAAAGTGCCCTCCTCCAGTAGAAGAAGAATATTTTTCTAACAAATGATGTACCATTGATCCTTGATCAGCTGAAGAACGCCCAGACTTAAAATCTGCTTGCTCTTTTCCCCCATGATCTAATTTGATAAATTCTCTAGAAGAAGACTGGGGTACAATTTACTTATAATATTTGAAAGACTAATTGGTTTGTATTTGGCAGAATCTGATCTTTTACCCTTTTTTGTCAGTCGGGATTGTTATTGCAAGCTTCCAATCAGCTGGAGTGTATCTGATCAATACATGTAAAGAAAACATTCTGAATTTGACTTGTCCAGGGGATATAGAATCATTTCCTGGTGTTTTGTCAATTTTAAGTCCAGCAATGAGCGTGCCAATTTCAGATGATGAAGCAGGGGGCCAATCAGGAAGATCTTCAAGTCTCCTGATTGCCTCTGTAAATGCATAGAGCTGAAAAGTGATTTCAAAGTCTTCACAAAAGTATGAAAACCTAATCGATGTAAGATGCTTTGTCAATCCCTAGACTATAGCTGAATATGGCATTTAATTTCTACCTATTTATTCTCAGTGCCTGTTTCTTTTTTTCCCTTCATTAAAATGTTATATTCTTTGTCGACAGATAAAGATGTCATATTCAACTTCCTGTATAAATTATATTTTTAAAAATTCTTAATCAAACCAGGGTTTAGATGTAAAGATATTAATGTTGGCTGGGAAGATTGTTGCATAATGAACAATTTTCCACATATAGAGTTAGATTCTGATACAAGTATAAAACACCTTCTGGCAATCTTATGGATTCTTGTACCCTGAATCCCCTATCCTTATTTGTCTGTCTTTGGCATAGCATAAATTAACACCAGAAGAAATGAACACAATTTAATAACCAGAGAAATCATAATAATAGGCAAGATATCAATTCCAGAGAAGGCGTGGTAGATAAGAGTGTCCCAAGACCTCCCTTAGAGTAACCTCCCTGGGCACTGATTTCAAGAAATGCATTTTAAAACCATTTCAATCTATCACACTCACTGATTTTTTGGAGGTCAAAAATGATATCATGTCTTCCAATAAAATTGCCTGGCGAGCTGCGTCAGAAGCCTCTGGAACCTAATAAGTCACATTTTGCCTTCACAAACCTTTATGTCTCTTCTTCGTACTAATCAGATAAAAATATAAAAGGTCAAAACTGGACAGTATTTTATTTCAGGCCTCATGAGGCAGGACACAGAAGGAATATAAGTCCTTTTTAGTATTATCAAAAATAATTCATCAAGTTCAAAGTCCAAAGGTCTCAGGATTACCACATTCCTTGGGTTGCAGGTCATGCCATACTGTTATAACTTCACAGTAATGCAATAGTCCTGCTTTTGCATCAGCATGGTCAGATGGCATCAGGTGATATCATTGTGCTCCAAGCACTGTTGCATTGCAGGATAGTTGATTTTTTTTTCTCACTGAAAATAATTGGTTAATGGTCCCTTTCCCATGATAATTCCATAATCAGTTTGGGTGTGGAGGTCTCAAGAGTGCACTCTTCCAGGAATGATACATTAGTGGATGCAGTGTGCATGTGGCCAGGTTATCCCTCCCTCAAGGATTCGCAAGGAAATCTCTGGTAGAGAAGCCCTAGACAACTAACTTCCAATGCTCAGGCGACGAAGATTACTTTTCTAGTATGTTTAAAACCCTTCTTTGCTCCCCATTTCTGATTTCTGTTTGTTTGTAACTTGCTGTTCCATTATGTGTCTTACTATTGTGCTGCTTCCCTGGTGAATGTTATGAGTCTTTTTTGTTGATCTGTTTCTTCTAGTAGAGAACAGTATATTGATTTTTTTCCCCAAGATCCGTAACCTTTTTATCAGGTTTTATCCAGGAAGATTTGCAAATTTCTACCAGAATAGGAAGAATTTTATTATCAGACAGAAGGGATTGTATATGTTTAATGTTCTCTGCTAATAATACTCAACAACTTGACAGTTCTTCCTCATTTGTCTCAGGAGACTGGCATGAGACTCTTTTATTCTTAGAATTGCCATCATTTAAAGATAGTTCTGAAATTTCCTTTGTCATTAATCACTTGGTCAGTCTAAATTCACACTCGGGTTATTGGGCTCTTTGCAAAATACAGCTCAGCAGATGAGATAACTAGGTTAAAGTCTTCTTTACAATCTTCATTTATAATTTCAGAGTGCCCTGTAAGGTCAGTGTTAGTGTCTGATAGCTGCTGTCCCTCAGCCACCTTCTTATTTGTCTCAAACTGAGTCATTCTTGCTTGAGGTTTCTTTTTTTTTAAAGAGGTGGTTTATAACAGACAGGATACGGTCAATAATTTTATAATCATTTTGATTATAACTTTTTATTTCCCTAGATTTTTCTGTGCTTTTATTTCCTTAGGTTTTAGCTACTTTTTTGGTTTTCAAGCTATAAACAGCAGCTCTTGTCAGTTTCTTCTTCTGACCTTATTTGGCAACATCCTCCATTTCAGTCTTTTTCATTTACAGGTCTGTAGTGTATTTCATGTCTTCAGTATTCTTATACAATGCATCCTCAAGGCCTCTATATATACAAAAAAGGTATATATAACAAAGGTACATTCAACTGCAATTTCCCATTTTCCCAATGTATAGTGACTTTTGGGACAAGAGCTGCTGTTTATTGCTTTGGGACATCCTGTAATTAGAAAATCTGTTTGCTCCACTTAATTCCTTTTGTTTTGTTTTCACTTGTTATAAATCCTCACTCAGTCAGCTAATGAGGATAGAAAGGAAGGAAAATAGGTAAAAAAATGAAGAGGAAAGACATATAGAAGTGAAAATAAGTACTCCTGGCTACTCCACCAACCATCTCCCCCCCCCCTTTCTGTCTGTGTGTGTGTTTTAATTTTAACGGACAAGTCAGAATTATTCATCCCACATCTTCATTTGTTACAGAATGCACACTTCTAGGTAATTTTCCAAAATGTCATCAAAGTTTGCCATCTAATTCTTTATTTTAGTTTGGAGCTAGCAACTTGTTAAATTGCCCATCTCTGCTGTTATAATGGTGCTTGATTTAAGGGGGAAATAATCCATGGATACATCCTTCCCAGTATAGTGCCATTCAGATATTTAATCTCTTAATTCCTGACCTGCATAATCAGAGATAAAGAATAAAGAATGTGGAAAGAAGTATTGCAAAACGTTCTGGAATGCACTAATACAGTCATAGTCTATAATATTAAAAGCATCTCAAAAATAAGATTTCAGAATATCATTTTGAAGAAATATTTTTATTGCATTCATGACCTTAGTTTCCCAGTTTTCTGCTCAATGCACTTGGCCTGCATTAACCATGGCATTGTACTCAAAGTGAGACTTCGTGTTTAGGAAAATAGCCTGAGTACTTTAGGGTAATTTTGGAGTTGTCCCATTCACTTTGAATTTCAAGTAAAATCAGAAATCCAAAATTTGTTCCTTGGCTACAGTGCGGCAGTAAATTTTGTTCTTTCTGTTTGTGTTGAATGAAACAAATGTACAGACAACCTTTTAAAATGTCAATGTATATATGTGTGTGTGTGTGTGTCAATCACTTTTTAAAAATCTTAGTAGTGATGAGTCAGAAAGCAAAGACTGGCATATGTGAAAGCAATCACTGCAAGACAAGACAAACATCTCGGTAACCTCTGTCTTAAAGCCTCTGTCTTGGGATGGACCAAGTGAAGCACTCACACTCCACCCTTTCCACTACCACAATAGATCACAGACTTCACCAGTGATTTATTTGCA